AGCTCCTGTCGTTTTTAGGCTGGTTCCTGCCTCGGGCCAGCTGGCTGGAGGACTGCTGCCTGGAACACCTGAGGCGGAGGAAGGGGAGCAGAGGAAGGGGGAGAGAAAAGGTGATGGTGTTCAGCCCCAGCCCAGCATCAGGACCAGTGCTTCTTAGTTTCTTTGTTTCCTGCTTCTGGGGCTGCTGGGAATAGGGGCTGAGCCTTGGGAAGTCTAGGAGCCCCCCAGCTCCACGGTGAGGGCAGTTATGGCCAACAGATACCTGGACCCTCTTCCACTGGGCACTGCCGAGGCTGCCGGGCTCCTGAGCCCCCAGCACTGCCGCCGTTAATGATCGGGGCTGAGCGGGGTCTTACCCTCTTCAGCCTGCTTGGGGGTTTCAAGACCTGGCTCTAGTGTCCCCTGTAGGGGGGCTCTCTGGGCCCCAGGAGATCACCCGGGCCAGACCATCTTTTACCTGCTTTTCTCCCCAAAGCCCCTGGGTGGTGCAAGTTTTGAATTTGAGGCCCCGTTAAATATCAAAGTGTGACCTTCTACCATGGTATTGTACTTTTACCACCTGTTGGTTGAAAAACTACACGATCCTATGAACTCTGTAATGCTTTTCAAAGGATCTGTGTCTTATCCGTCCCTCAAGTCAAGCAGCAGGTGACACGTTAGTGACTCAGGGTACAGATTGGAAACCGTAGGGCTTGGGACCTGGTGACTGCAGTTGATAGGGTGGGGGAAGCTCCTCCTTACTTGAACCTCTCTGAGATGCCCACTTAGTGCCCTGCCAAGGAGCTTTCCTGCCCAAGAAGTCTTGGAGGGAAACCCAACCCCAGGTCCCCTTGGTTGGCCAGAGCAAGGGCTCCACTTGGATGGAGGCTCCCCAGGAGGGTGGCCCTTTTTGTGGCCAGTGCAGGTGAGGGCTGCCAGGACTTGGCATGAGGCCTCCTCTTGAAGGTTCTTTGCCAGCCTTCTGGCCACAGACTCTCCACTTGCTCTTGGGAACGGCTGGCAGCCGAGTAATGAAGACTCAGCCCCTGGCAGCCCTGACCCTGTGCCTGTCCTTGCCATCCCCTCTCCTCTGGAATCTGGGCTGGCACCTTTGTCCCCTCTGCCTCTGGGCAGGGTCAGGAATTCTTACGCATTGACACTCTGGAGCCTACGGCTCTGTTGAAGCAAGTTTCTCGTAAACAGATGGGCTGGCCAGGAAGGGGGTTCTTGGGCTGGGGAGAGGGAGAGTTGGCAGGTGAGGAGAGCAGGTGCTCCTGGAAGACTGCAGTTCAGAGACGCCTCCTCCTTCCATACCCTTTCCTGCTCCGCCAGAGCCCTGACCTCAGGTCTTGGTTCTTCCCTCTCCCTCCCTGTCCCCCAGCCTCCAGACATCTGCCCCATGACCCCCAGCCCCAGCTGAGCCAAACAGGTGGGTGGGCTTCCAAGGTTCTGTGCTGAGGGTGGGGTAGGAGCAAATTGATCCTTGCTTTGAGCAAACTGAGTGTGTGAAAGTTTAGACCTTAACTTACCACGAGGGTTTTGACTTGTTGTATAAAAAGCTGATTTTCCTGGGATTTGGAGAGGTAAAAGGGCCCCATTAAAGGTGTGGGATGACTTGCCTTTCCCATTCCCAGGTAGGTTCCAAGCTGGGCCATCCTGTCTCTGAGTAGCCCCCAGTCATGGCCAGATGGTCTCTTGGAAGGACCATGGCCAGAGGCAGCGCTGGGGACAGACCCACATGAGGCCACAGATTCCTAGCACAGCAGGACTGCACAGTGAAACTGGAAGTCTCACCCCGAACTCAGTCAGCTGGCAGCTGGCGATCTAAGTTCATACTCAGCAGTTTCTGCTGATTTTCTCCCTGGGGAGCTGAGGCCATCACAGAAGGCGTCATTGGTGCAGGGAACTTAGGAGGCCACATAGCCCATCTCCGCAGTGGAGGCCCAGCCCTGCAGGGAGAGGCTGCCCTGAGGCCTGGGAGCTGGTTTCAGTGGAGAAAGTGTTTGCTTAAGAGCTTGTTGTGTAAACAAGATCCACCAGGGATAAGCTGAGCAGAGCTGAAGAAACAAATTGTTTCTAAGGACTGGGCAGATCCACAGCCCTATCTGGTCCTGAGATGCCCACGCTTAGGAAATTGCTAACCTGTTGGGACTTCTCTGTGTAGGTGAGAGGCTGGGCCTCCCTGGCATTTGCCTGGGTCTCGGGTGGTGCCTCCAGGGCTGACAAGGTGCCCAGTGTGCTGAGATCTCTGCAGGCCTCGGTTCCATCATCTGTGAACTAGGGCCTGGCCCTGTGGCTCTGGCTTCAGCAGAGAGACTCGGTGCTCTTTACAGAGGAGGGGAGGCCTGTCTTGTTGGAGCCCTGACACCTGCTCCATGTCCAGCTTTTTCTCTGAGGGAGGTCCCCTGAATGCTTGTCCAGTTGGGAGCAGTCTGCTCTGGGCCTGGTGAGAGTATGTTGGGGTAGGGGGTGCTCACTCTGTGCCTGCCTTGTGGGCAGTAGTCTTTGTTACTGAAGGGGACAGGCCAGGGGAGACTGGGGCTCTGTGGAGGCAGAGCCAGTGTTTGAAGCATCTCCAGGGACAGTAGAGACAGGAGATGTGGTCTGGGGTGCAGGTGGAGGTCAGGGGCGATGTTCATGTAGATGGGCCGTGACAGCTCAGTCATATCCTTCTGGGGGAGGTACAGTTTGGGTTTTACATTTTCAGAGGAAGTTCAGTGGTATTTCTAGCTTAGCAGTTTCTACACGTGTCTGAAGCTTCCACAGGTGGAAACCCCCACATGGTCCAGCTCTGGCCCCGGCAGCCTCAGGAGGCCACTGGGCTTGTCTTCCCTCTCTGCTCTGCTCCATGCTCCACTCAAGAGTGAGGCCCTGTGACCTGTCGCCAAGACCTGCCAAGGCCTCTTGGGCTGAGGAGGCCAGTTCCCTGGAGCCCCGAGCCCAGCTGCGGGTGGGGCCGGCTTTCTGACAAGTCTGCACAGAGCCTCCTGTGAACCTGCTCCCTCCGGCCCCCTCTTCTTCTGCAACTCTACCCGCCTCCATCTCCCCTCGTCCTAGACGGCCCTAGAATGCCCTCCGCGTGTTGACTTCAGCAGCCACCACTGTTGAGGGGGTGTTAACTGCCGGCCAGGCTCTGTGCATAGCCTCATTGAGTTTTTGCAACAGTCTTGGAATGTAGATAGGACTATTTCCCCACTTTCCAGGTGGGAAGACTGAGACTGTAAGAGAGTTAGTGTTGTCCCCAGGGCCGCTCAGCTAGTAAGGGGCAGAGGTCAGGGGTTCTTTAAAGCCTGTGTGCTTCGGACTAAGCTGGTCTGCTTCTTAGCTCTTTTTTTGTTCTGGCCCCTGGCCTTAGGGCCCTCTCAGAATGAACTGCATTACAGGGTTGTTTGGGTCAAAGTCTTGTTGCTGAACAGGACACCTAGCTACCCTTCCCGCCATCTGGCTGCTGGTCCTCCGTTCCCCACCTGCTCCCCTGGAGCCAGTGTTTCTGCATACGCCAACTCAGCTGTGTGTGGAGCGTCCCTCCTCCTCCGGCCCCACTCCCGATCCTGGGCCTGCTGTGTAGCCCCTGCCTCAGGAACGCTGGCACGTACAGCCTCTGGGCCAAGCAGCAACATTCCTGGGATGGCTGTATGCACACAGGTCCCATTCTAGGCCCACAGCCCATTTGTCAGTGCTTCCTTAGTGCAGGGCCCCTTCTAAGTGAGCCTCATCTGTCCTCAAGCGGGCCTCAGCTCAGTCTGTCCTGTGAGTGTGAGATAACAGGTCAGCTGTGGGAAGGAGCATATGGCCAGACCTGCCTCAGCACAGACAGCTCAGCCCTTGCCTCTCCCTGCCCCTCCCCTCCCCACCCAGGGCCCTGGGTATCCACACCCTGGTCTCCAGCACATCTGGAGGCTGCCTCTGGAGCCAGGGCTTTGTGGCATTAAGCTGAATCTTAGACCCCGAAGCTCCCTGGCCAGTGGCCCCAAGACCTGATTCTCAGTGTAGGGTGGGCTGCTGGAATCCCATGGGAGCCACAGCCTGTGATCCTAGTAACGGTGTCTCTGTCTGCTCTTCTGAGAGGCCTGGGAAGCTTCTTGGGGTGAAGGGCCTGTCCCCTCTCGTGTGTTTCTGCATCTCTAGCACCTGACACAGGGCTGTGTTGTCATAGCATTAGGAGGTGTATAGTGGACCAAAGGGCCACTCAGAGCTGAGGGTCCTGAGCCATCCACATGGGCTTCCTTCCTGTGCTATGTGCGGGTACCGGGGGGGTACTCAGCTGTGTAGGACAGGGACCCCGGAATCACAACACCCTGAAAAGCCTCCACTAATACCCTTTTCTGACCCTTTTCCAGCAAATTGTGGCTACAAATGTGCCCCCCGAAGATCAGGATGGCTCTGGGGACGACTCTGACAACTTCTCTGGCTCCGGTGCAGGTGAGAGCCTCCCCCCAAGACGGGAGCAGGCTGGGCCCAAAGGGAGATCCCGGGGGAAAGGATGGGGGCCGAGTTGCAAGGAAAAAACATATATGTATGTTGTTGGTTCCAGAAGGCCCCAGAGGCCACCTGCTGCAGAAACACTTTGGCTCCCACTCCCCTCTTTACTCACTAGGCAACCTTTGGAAGCTTGTTTGACTTCTTCAAGCCTCTATTTCCTCATCTGTAAAATGGGAAGAATAACTTGACTCCATAAGTTTGTTGGGAACTAGCTGTAAGGCAGCACAGAGCCTGGCGGGGTGTATATGTTTATAAATGTTCCCTCATCTCCCCATTTCCCCTTCCCTGGGGAAATGAAGTCCTTGAGCTAGAGGTGGTCAGAGAGGCCTCCCAGAGGAGGTGCTTTTAAGCTAGACCTCGGAAGAGGGCTGAGGCCGTCCATGGGGAAAGTGGCCTAGGCAGGGGCCCAAGGGCTGGGAGGGAGGACATGGGCCTCTGCTCTATAGGAACCTGGGCCTTTCTGGGGAGAGAGCAGGTGTAACAGGGACAGGGACAGAGAGGTGTGTGCACTGAGGATAAGGCATTTGGGCCCCTGAGGACACCCACAGCCAGGGAGCTGGCTCCAGCCATTGCAGGAAAGGTTTCTTCCCAGATGGCCTTAGTGTCTCATGGCTCCGGAGACCAGGCTGTCCCGAGGCACAAGCAGCGACAAAGGCAGCTCTCCTTGTTTATTTTCCAGTCAAATTTAGCTTTAGCTAGCTCTGCCCCGGGGTACAGAGCTTCTCACGGGAGGAAGAGTTTGCTGTGCTAGCCTGGGGACCAGAGCCACAGGTCCTCGCCCAGGCCACCCTCACAGCCTGAACTTGGCTAGGTTCGACGTCTGAGGTCTCCCCCACCCCAACCAGCTCTGCTTCTGGCCCTGCAGGTGCTCTGCAAGATTTCACCCTCTCACAGAAGTCCCCCTCCACCTGGAAGGACATGGGGCTCCTGACAGCAATGCCCACGGCTCCAGAGTCCACCGGCACTGATATCATCTCTGCCGCCACCTCCGTCCTGCCAGTTGGAGCGGGAGACCAGGAGCAAGAGGGAGACACAGTGTTCTTGGTCAACGTGGGATCTGGCTTTACCAGACTGGAAAAGACCACCTACCCACCCGGTGAGACCACGCCACACCCAACCACCCACCGGGTGTCAACTACCAGAGCCACCACTGCCCAGGCACCTGTCACCTCCCATCCCCTCAGAGACATGCAGCCTGACCACCATAAGACCTCAGCTCCCGAAGGACCTGGCCAGCCCGACCCTCACACTGTCACCATGGAGGAAAAAGGCCTTTTTGCCACCGAGAGAGCTGCTGAGTTTGGAGCTATCACCCAGTTCCCAGCAGGAGAGGGCTCTGGGGAGCAGGTAAGGGTCTGCCCACTGTAGTCCTCTGTGTTTGCTGGGACAATGGGTGACCAATGTGCTTGGTGGCCCCTATTGACTGGTTGAGTACAGTGTCTTGGGGCAGGGGACACTGGTTGGTTGACTGGCACACTCAACACCTGGTGCCCTGTGAGCACGTCACATTCCCCACCATGAAGGCAGGGCCATGAGGGCCCACCTTCCCTCACCCCAGGGCTGAACCCAGGGCAGGTCAGGCTAAAGCAGTGAGACCAGAGCAAGAATCCTTGCAGATCACCACAGAGAGGGCTCCCAAACATTTGCAAGGCTCCTGCTGCGAGTATACAAACTCTACCAAGTTTTGTGTTTATCTTTTAGTGGCGTAGTAATTTTAACTTTGCATAAAGTGAGCCTATTTATTTTCGTATTAAAAGATGTGCCTTATGTCACTTTACGGATCTCTGCCTCAGTCCAGTGTGATGTGGCGAGGGGCCTGGCTTTGATGTCCACATCCGTGTTTGGGAGTGTCTGAGTTGGTGGCCGCTGTGACCGGGGAGGCCTGAGCTGCTGCCGGCAGTGGCCCACCCCAGCTTGACCCTTTCCCTGCCCTCCCACAGGACTTCACCTTTGACATGTCTGGGGAGTTCACAGCTGGGCCTCCTGTGAAACAAGACCAGCTGGAGGAACCCTTATTGGGTTCCAGCGGTTCCGGCGCCTCCGGGGCCTCACAGGGCCTCCTGGACAGGAAGGAGGTGCTGGGAGGTGAGTTTTCTCTCAGGTGGTAGAAAGGGGGCCAAACTGCCACTCTTCGGGGGTGGGGCTGGCCACAGGCAAGGCCTCTTCGGGGGTTGCCCAGTTGGGGAGGGGTTGCTGCCCAGCCCCAGGAGCAGCCAAGCTGAGCTGGCCTCGGTCTGCCTCCCCAGGGGTCATTGCTGGAGGCCTGGTGGGGCTCATCTTGGCCGTGTGCCTGGTGGGCTTCATGCTGTATCGGATGAAGAAGAAAGACGAGGGCAGCTACTCCCTGGAGGAGCCGAAACAAGCCAACGGAGGGGCCTACCAGAAGCCCAGCAAGCAGGAGGAGTTCTACGCCTGACGGAGCGGTCCTCCCCCGCCACTCGCTAGGCCCCCACTTGCCTCTTCCATGAAGAACTGCAGGCCTGCCTCCCCTGGCACCTTGCCACCTCCCTGATGCTCCCAGCCCCTCTGGCCCATGCCCCACAGAGTCCTGGGGCGCGCTGGGGGCTCCCCTCTTTTTCTCTGACTTCTGCCTGGAGCCTGGGGTGCGAGGGCTTTCTGCATCTGACCTCCCCACTGCGGCCGGCCCCTGGCATCTTGCCACTCTGACTCGGTCTCTCCAACCCCGGAACAGCTCTGGAGACAGAGGGGACCCCAACTGCTGTGGACCTGGGTGGCCCGCTGGGGCTGAGGGCTCACACGCCCGTAGCACTTACTGGTAGAGATGGGCAGCCTCGGGGGCATCGCTGGCTGAGTGGCGAGGGAGAGGAGTTCAGGGCTCCATCCGAGTTCACTTTGTTCTGTGGGGAGGTCTGACTTAGATACCAACTTGTTTTTGCACATGTTTCCTCTAGTTTCTTTGTTCATAGCCCAGTAGACGTTATTATTTTTGAGGTAAGTTAAGTTGATTTCGTTAATATCCCATCTTGCTTCCCTAATCTACCGCCAGGATGCAGCGTCAGGGTTAAGAAGACCTTTTTTTTTTTTTTTTTTTTTTTTTTTTTTTTTT